AAAGAAAGAAGCATTACAATGTGCACAAGAGGGGCAGTTGTGGGGGCCAGCTCTTATTCTCGCTGCACAACTCGGTGATCAGGTTTGTTTGGTTCTCCGTAGTCCTTTATCCCATCCTCTTCCTCCTCCGCTCGTTCTTCTCTTAATTTAATTTTGATTTCATGCGTAATTGCAGTTCTATGTAGAAACGGTGAAGCAAATGGCACTTCGACAGTTAGTAGCAGGGTCACCTTTGCGGACACTGTGCCTACTAATTGCTGGTCAACCGGCTGATGTCTTTTCTCTAGATTCTAGAGCTCAAAGTGGCATGCCTGTTGTAAATGCGGTTCAACAGCCTGCACAGGTTTTGTGTTCATAACTTGTTACAAGCAGTTAGTAATCATTAGCTTCTTTGCTGCCTTTTCCCCCTTGAACTCATTTTTTTAATGATTGCCTAATCCCCCGGAACTGAGCCTTTAAAGGGGATCTTTCCATTGACATGCTCTTGTATCTTCATTCTATAGAGTATTATCATTTTTATGCATTTATAAACATAGTATCATAATCGTTCTTTGACTTTTAAAGCTTCAACAATAAGAGCTCAGAAGACATTTTAGCGCGTACTGAAAGGTTAATTGTGATAAAAAGAAAGGGGACATGGAGCATAGCTATGTATATTTTGATCCCTGGAATTTCTATAAGGCTGCTGTTTTGAAGTCCAAGTACTTCTGATTGGTTGGAGATAAGTTAGGTGTGGGCATTGTGGTGCAAATCTTAGCAGACACAAAAAGGAGAAAAGGGAACTTGTTCCTATCCACCTAAGCATTGGCAGACCGAGTTCCTCGTTACCTATGCTGGTGGGAGTACCCGGTGGAATAGTCAAGGTGCCCACCGTGATTTTTAAAAAAATTTAGGTTTGGCCATTGTTCTGTAAGACGTGCAGAGCTTTGATGATGAGTTGGGTGGGGGCATTGTTCTGTCAGATGTGCAGAACCTTAATATACCCACACATGATTTACTAGCTACCCTTAACCGTTATGATTGTTTGTGAATTTCATTCGAGGTCCGTCTTGTTATGTTTTGACGTTGTGATTTTCGTTTTATTAGGTAACACCATAGATTGTAAGTGGATCACTTTCTCTTGTTTTCCTGTTTCTTTGGAGGGAGTTATGTCTAGATATTGACTTTCTGCTGTTCAATTTTTTTTTTTAAATGTTAGAGACTTTTGTTGTTTTCTTCCCTAGTTGATTGCTTTTTAAAGATTTAAGGCTAATACTTTCTTTGTATTTTTACCTTATTTTGATTTCTTCTGTTTATCCTAGTTTGGTGCCAATGTCATGCTGGATGACTGGGAAGAGAATTTGGCTGTGATAACTGCAAACAGAACGAAGGATGATGAACTGGTGCTTATTCATCTTGGTGATTGTTTGTGGAAAGAGAGGAGTGATGTATGTCTTATGCCTTGTTTTTCTTTTATATTACTCTCATTCAGTGGATTGCCTTTGATCTTGTTGTCTGCTTCTTACATACATTTTCTAAAAAAATTGACCTAGATTGTTGCTGCACACATTTGCTATCTAGTGGCTGAAGCAAACTTTGAACAATATTCAGATACCGCAAGATTGTGTCTTGTGGGTGCAGATCACTTGAAATCCCCCCGAACTTATGCTAGTCCAGAGGCTATTCAGGTGCTGCTTATTTCTAGTTTTTGTGCATTTTCTAGTCATGTGAAGAAATGTGAAACATCTTGTGCCACAGTCAGCATATTCACTCATGTAACTGTATGTGCTACTGGTTAACACGGGTTCATCGCTTGACTGATCAAATGCTTGTATCGACAGAGGACAGAGATTTATGAATACTCAAAGGTGCTGGGGAATTCTCAATTTATTCTCCCTCCTTTTCAACCATATAAACTTGTGTACGCACACATGCTAGCTGAAGTTGGGAGGATATCAGACGCATTAAAGTAAGTATACAAGTTTTTTGTTCAGCATGTTACGTGACATCCTTTCAGCTGGTTCCTTAGTATTTTTAAATTTAGGTACTGTCAAGCATTGTCGAAATCACTTAAAACTGGCCGAACCCCTGAGACGGAAACACTGAGACAGTTAGTGTCATCTCTTGAGGAAAGGATTAAAACTCACCAACAGGTACCTCTTTATCCTCTCACTCATCTATGTTGGATGATTGTCTCAGAGATACTTATGGTGGAACTTTCTGCATACAGGGAGGGTTCTCCACAAATTTGGCTCCTGCAAAATTGGTTGGTAAATTGCTGAACCTTTTTGATAGCACGGCTCATCGTGTTGTTGGGGGCTTGCCACCACCCATGCCAACAAGTGGTAGTTCACAAGGGAATGAACATCATCATCAGTTTGTGTCGCCTAGAGTCTCAAGTAGTCAATCCACCATGGCAATGTCATCACTGATCCCCTCAGAGCCAAGTAGTGAATGGGCAGCTGATAGCAGTAGAATGACGATGCACAATAGAAGTGTTTCAGAGCCTGACATTGGGAGAACTCCAAGACAGGTGTCTTATCCTGTTTTTCTGTAAAAATTACATTGGACTGTATCTATCTAATCTGGCTTGAAAAGAGAAGTTTGTTGTGAATTTGTGTTGGATCAGGTTGACTCATCAAAGGACGCAAGCTCAATTAACACAGGAAGCAATGCATCAGGAGCTGGAGGGATATCACGCTTACGTCGCTTTGGCTTTGGCTCCCAGCTTCTCCAGAAAACTGTTGGATTAGTACTCAAACCCCGTCAAGGCCGTCAGGTAGATATTGATTTTTCTCTCATCTTTGTCGTTTTCTAGATTGTAGTCCTCACAAAATTTGATGTTGACGCTTGTTTCCTTGTAGGCAAAATTGGGTGATTCGAATAAATTTTATTATGATGAAAAACTTAAAAGATGGGTAGAGGAAGGCGCTGAACATCCTGCTGCAGAACCACCCCTTGCACCTCCACCAACCGTTCCTGCTTTCCAGAATGGAGCGCCCGATTATAATGTGAAAAGTGTATTGAAAAGTGAAAGTCCTATATGCAACAATGGATTTCCGGAAATGAAGAGTCCAACTTCTTCTGATAATGGTGCTGGAATTCCACCTCTTCCACCTACCTCCAACCAATTCTCTGCTCGTGGTCGTATGGGTGTTCGTTCAAGGCAAGTGATTTTTGTGTGTTAATTATTTACATATGAAATGGTTGGACGAGTAGACCAATAAAAATAAAAGTGTACCAGTAGAGACCTAGTATGGCCAGTGATATCTTTGGACTGCTATAAGAGTAATCCTCCCTACCTGATTGAACCTTTTGGTGGCTTAGGCAAAATAGCCATTGTTTACTTAGTTGGTCCGGTCCTGAGAGAGTATTTTAAATTGGTGAGAGTAATACTTGATAAGCTCCTATGCGTCAAACTAACAATTTTTAGTGTATGAACCTACCTGATTGTCATGCTTTTTATAGTATTTTGCCATGGCTTCTTCACTTCCGTTATTTCTTTTTCCAAACTGCTTTGAACTGTTTTTCCTTGAGCGGGAGGGTCTATCAGAAGCAGCATCTCTACCTCCAAGGTCGGAGAAAAGTACACTCTACCTTCCCCAGATCCCACTTTGTGGGATTACACAGGGTATGTTGTGTTGCACATCAACCTGATGAGACACTGATCCAAAAAATATTATCAAGCATTTATCACTTTTGTCTATTAGTAATGGTGGCTCTAGGATCAAATTTGATTTACAGGCTCGTTTAACAACGTACAAAATGATCCATCACTGAAAGTGATGCAGAAGCAATGGTTTCAAACCTAATTTAGTACTTCATCTGATCATGTACTAGGGCTTTCATTCAGAAAAATTATTTGGGTACAAAGAATAGGGTCACCGAAAGGCTACAAGTGCATGTGGTGCTCTCTTCTATAACTCAATGGTAAAAGCTGACTGGCTTCTTTTCCTTCTTTTGGCAGGTATGTCGACACGTTCAATAAAGGTGGTGGTAACCCAACTAATCTATTCCAGTCACCTTCTGTTCCTTCCATAAAGCCTGCTACTGCTGGCAATGCCAAGTTTTTTGTTCCCGCCCCGATGTCCCCTGTTGAAGAGACAGGGAACAGTACTTCCAATGAGCAAGAAACTTCAAGTAATAGCGAGAGTGATTCAGTTTCTGCTGTTAATGGATCGACCCATTTTCCTGCACCAACATCGAGCGCTGTGCCTATCCAAAGATTTGCAAGCATGGACAACCTCTCCAATAAAGGAGCTGTTGCTAGCTCTCTATCAGCTAACTCCCGGCGAACTGCATCATGGAGTGGCAGCTTTCCCGATGCTTTTTCCCCAAATAAAGCTGAAATAAAACCACTGGGCTCTAGATTGAGTATGCCTCCGTCGTCATTCATGCCTAGTGATGTTAATTCGATGCATTCCTCAACGAATGGCGGCAGTCTCAGTGATGACCTTCATGAAGTAGACCTGTGACGCAACAAGATGTATATACCAAGTTTTGCTCGTCGTCATGGTATCCTGCTCGGAATCTCTTCACTTTGGTGGTAAACAGTGAAGTGTGCGGTCAATGAAGATGGAAAATCCTTTCCTGTCTTCTCACACCACAAATATACCCCCCCTATTCTCTTTTTTTGTTTAGCTACTTTTTGTAAGATCAGTTGTATGTTGAAAGCAAATGGTTATTTAGATGTAGGGATATAGGTTTTTATTTCTTTTATCCCTCTTAACACCTGCTGTTTCAGAAACTTGTTATTATAAACACAAGCAAAGTCGTCTAGAGATACATTGTACAGTTGAAATATTCATTCATTGAGGAAAGGAACTCTCATTTGATAAAAATTTGAATTGAAGTTATACTCTTCTGGAAAAAGACTGATCCAAAGTTTTAACAAAATAATATGTTTCTCATATTGGTATTATAATTATATTGATCAGTATTATATTTATATAACTAAAAGTGTATGCTTAGACAAAAGAAATTGTTGCAAACGCTTCTCATAAAAAATATGAACTGCTACTATTACAATTGTTCCAAAAAAGAAGAAACAAATACTATCTAAATATCACTTTCTTTCAAGTATATTTTCAGACTCAAAACAGAGCAAATGTTTGAAACATGCCTTGCAGCAGCAACAATGGCGGTTGATAATGACAATTCAAATATTGCAGACGAGGGAGAGGGCGGCTCTCTCTTTCTCTCTTCCACACTAAATTAAGCAAATTTCTGCCGATCTTAAACGACATAAAAGCATCAATAGCAGCATATTCAACTTGTTCATACACCAATTCCTCTGCATCCCATTTACTCAATGTCACATTCTTTGGCTTCTCCATCACTTTCCCAAGCACCTCTTTCGCCATTCTCTTCAATCCCATCTTCCCATACACTTGCTCTCCGTAAACCGATAATGCCAATCGATTCAAATCCACAGTATTCGCCACAAACAGCTTATGATCGCGAAGCAATTTCTCCGCGTCTCCTTTAACCCCGACTCCAACAAACTTGACATTCGGATCTCCAAGGAACTTGGCGAGGAATGCTGGAAGGCCGTTTCTGTGGAGAAGTTGGAATAGTAAGCAACGCCGTCCTACACAGAGCTGGAGAAGAGCAACTGGGTGATTTTCCTCTGGCTTAAAACAGGGCAGCCACTCGATATCAAGTCCAACAATAAGTTTATTGGATTTCCGAAGATGAAGGGTTTCCAGAATCCAATCATTAACAACCACAGCATTCTTCGTAACAGTCACTTCAATTTGGTCACTGTAGAAAGGAACAACATAGATTTCTGCCATAACAAAAACTGAAAATAAAAAAAGTTTTGACTCTCAAAGTAATTTTTGTGAAATAATTCATTCATGAATTGACGCATATATATAACAGTTTAGACACTCCAAAAATTTCCTAAATTTTTTTCCTTAAACCGAATTTCCTAATTTATTTCCTTAAACCGAGTTTCCTAATTGTTTTTTTTTCCTTCAATCGAGTTTCCTAAAATGTTAAAAGAAAAGTTTCCTAAAATGTTATATTTACACGGTATTAGTATTTTGACTTGATTTTGGATATGCATTTATACTTTAAAAAGGTAAACACTTATCTCCTTACCAGATACAAGACTCGTGCTAGCACGAATCCAATATATATTACTCTTTCTATTTTAATTTATATGATACAGATAAAAGTTGGAGTCAATCCATTTTTATATGATTTTTAAAAATAATTTAAGTTGTGATATATATATTTTTTGCAAAATAAGTGTATTTGAATCTTTTAATTTTGTTTAAAATAAATAGTGTTTTAGATATTAAAAAGACATTAATGATGTTACATTTATTTTAAACAAGATATTTCAAAATATTTTGAATAGTCAATTATTGTAACTTATAGTACTTTTTACGTAGTTTACAAATATAGAAATTTTATAATTAAAATTAAAAATTTCATGAGCAAATTATCGATTAAACTAAAATGAAGTGTGTTCGTGCGTTGAACATGCATAAGTAAATTGATAATAATTCAAACTGTATTGAGTTAAGTGTCATTTATAGCAATACTATGATAAATTTGTACAACATATTAAAAGTGAATTGTGCATGCAATATAGATATATTATAAGTGTTTTAAAATCTATTATGCTTGCTTGTTAAGAAATTAACAAATGTATTAAAAGTGTATTCAAATGTGTGGTAATTTATTATCTATCAATAGAACTTGCATTATATGTGTTTATAAATTGTTCTTTGCAATATGTATTAGAATTGTATTATAAATGTATTTATAAGTGTCTAAGTGAAAAAAAATGTTAGTACTATAAATGATAAATATTTTTTTAATATAATATATTTATGTAAGTTTTCCCTTTGTTTTCTTAGTGAAATAACCCACCTTTAAATTAGCCCAATTTACTTGTGATTTAAACTTTAATTAACCATGGGTAATTAGTTCTCATCTTTTAAAAAAGACAAATGACTTGATTGGATATTATTAACTTAAACTTAGCTAGAAAAAATTCAAACTTTAATATCATTTTTTCTCCAAAATTTTAAAGAACTTGTTCAATTCACCAACAAGAGTTTTAGAATCTTACTAACTCAGTCATGAACATAGAGATTAAACTTGTTATTCATTGGTTATTAGCGGCCTCCCAACTGGAAAGAGATTATAAGATGGAAAATTGAACTCTCAACAACAAGGTGTTAGTTTATGTAACCAACCAACTGAGCTACTAAGATGTCTTGGACATGATTATAAATCATGTTTTGAAATTGAAATTTTGTTTGTACATGCAATTTGGATTTCTCAAGTCGTATTTTTTCATTTAAAAATAAAAACTCCATAATTTGTGAAAACCGTGCATGTCCATCGCTGGAGACTCCACAACAAGTTTGGGGACCTAAAGCCAAACATCATAGAGATTGTCTTATTTCTTTACAGTTAACATATATAAATTGAATAATTATAACATACTCAATGTAATCCTATAGTTTATAAATGTCAATTTTTAGGATTACATTAAGTATGTTAGAATTATTCAATTTATATATGACAACTAAAAAAATAGAGGAAATTACATAAATAGCTAAGTGATGAAACTTAATAACGCTCCTTAGCTACAATTTGTCTAATTACGCTTCATAGCTATAATTTCATTTGCTATGCTAATTTCCGTTTGAATATTTCGTTGTTTTTTTAATATATTATACAAATTGAATTCATACAAGTAACATATTATATAAAAATTTTTGTATTGTATACAAACTATTAATACAGATAATAAGTAATTGTATATAAGGGTTAAAAAGTTTGGCTTTAGACCCCAAACTTGTTGAAACGGTCATGTCTATCATGTCAGATAACCTAAAATTATAATCTTAAAATAATATTTATATAGCTTAAATCTAAAAAAAAAAGAAAAAGAAACTTTTCCATTTAAGTTAAACTTTATTTTTAATTGCGCGTTTTACAAATTAAGAAACTTGCCAAAAAGAGGTTACTTTTTTAGGATCTCTTTTTCCCAATCCAATGTTAACTAGGAAACTGTTCTCTATATATTGGAGTTCTATTTACTCTATAGTATTACTTCTATTACTACTTGTTATTTCCAATGGCGAAAATCTACGGAGTCGAATTCTATGGTGATGAAATCCAAGTGATTGTGACCAACACTGCTGTCGTTGTTAATGATTGGATTCTGGAAACTGTGCATCTCCATCGCCGGAGACTCCATAAGCTTTTAGTTGGGCTTGATATCGAGTGGCTGCCCTGTTTCAAGCCAGAGGAAAATCACCCTGTCGCTCTTCTCCAGCTTTGTGTAGGACGCCGTTGCTTACTCTTCCAACTCCTCCACAGAGACGGCCTTCCAGCATTCCTCGCCAACTTCCTTGGAGATCCCAATGTCAAATTTGTTGGGGTCGGGGTTAAAGGAGACGCGGAGAAATTGCTTCGCGATCATAACTTGTTTGTGGCGAATACTGTGGATTTGAATCTATTGGCATTATCGATTTACGGAGAGCAAGTATATGGGAAGATGGGATTGAAGAGAATGGCAAAAGAGGTGCTTGGGAAAGTGATGGAGAAGCCAAAGAACGTGACATTGAGTAAATGGGATGCTGAGGAATTGGTGTATGAACAAATTGAATATGCTGCTATTGATGCTTTTATGTCGTTTGAGATTGCTAAGAATTTGTTTAATTTAGTGTGGAAGAGAGAAAGAGAGAGCTGCCCTCACCCTCGTGTTGTTATGAGGCAATATTTGAATTGTCATTATCAACAGCCATTGTTGTTGCTGCAAGATAGATACTCGAGGAATGTTTCATACACTTGCTCTGTTTTGAGTCTGAAATTAATACCAGAAAGAATGTGATATTTAGATTTTTTTTTATTTTGGAACAATTGTAATAGTAGCAGTTTATATATTTTATGACAAGAACAATTTCTTTTGTCTAAGCATTCACTTTTAGTTATATAAATAAGTAAAATACCAATATGAGAAACATATTATTTTGTTAAAACTTGGATCAGTCTTTTTCCATAACTTCAATTCAAATTTTTATCAAATGAGAGTTCCTTTCATCAATGAATGAATATTTCAACTGTACAATGTTTCTCGAAACCACTTCCCTTGTGTTTATAATAACAATTAACAGCAGGTGTTAAGAGGGATAAAAGAAATAATAAAAACCTATATCCCTACAGCTAAATAACCATTTGCTTTCAACATACAACTGATCTTACAAAAAGTAGCTAAATAAGAAAGAAGAGAAAAGGCGGGGTATATTGTGGTGTGAGAAGACAACAGGAAAGGCTTTTCCATCTTCACTGACCACACTTCACTGCTTACCACCAAAGTGAAGAGATTCCGAGCAGGATACCATGACGACGAGCAAAACTTGGTATATACATCTTGTTGCGTCACAGGTCTACTTCATGAAGGTCATCACTGAAACTGCCGCCATTCGTTGAGGAATGCATCGAATTAGCATCACTGGGCATGAATGAAGACGGAGGCATACTCAATCTAGAGCCCGGTGGTTTTATTTCAGATTTATTTGGGGAAAAAGCATCAGGAAAGCTGCCACTCCATGATGCAGTTCGCCGAGAGTTGGCTGATAGAGAGCTAGCAACTGCTCCTTTATTGGAGAGGTTGTCCATGCTTGCAAATCTTTGCATAGGCGCAGCGCTTGATGTTGGTGCAGGGAAATGGATCGATCCATTAACAGCAGAAAATGAATCACTCTCACTATTACTTGAAGTTTCTTGCTCATTGGAAGTACTGTTCCCTGTCTCTTCAACAGGGGACATCGGGGCGGGAACAAAAAACTTGGCATTGCCAGCAGTAGCAGGCTTTATGGAAGGAACAGAAGGCGACTGGAATAGATTTGTTGGGTTACCACCACCTTTGTTGAACGTGTCAACGTACCTGCCAAAAGAAGGAAGAGAAGCCAGTCAGGTTTCTCTATTTTGAGTTATAGAGGAGAGAGCATCACACGCACTTAAAATCTTTCAATGACCTATCAACAAATTTTCTAGATTAAAGCCCTTGTACATGGTCATATGTAGTAGTAATAGAAGTATGTTCAAACCTTTGAAATCATTGCTTCAGCATCACTTTCAGTGATAAGGATTGATTCTTATGTTAAAGAGCCAGTCAACTCAATTTTATCATGGAGCCACCATAACTAATGGAGGAAAGAAATAATGTTTGATAGTTTTATTTTTTGGGATCAGTGTCTTATCAGGTACATGTGTTCACACTAAAACTTGTTAGTTTGACGCAAAGGAGCTTATCAAGTATTTACTCTCACCAATTTAAAATCCTCTTTCAGAATCGGACCAACCAAGTAAACAAGGGCTGTTTCGCTTAAGCCAACCCAAAAGGTTCAATCAGATGGGTGATAACTTATAGCATAGCTTGTCCAAAGATGTCACTAACCATATTAGGTCTCTATTAGTCCATTTTTTATAGGTCTACTGGTCAAATCATATCATCTGAAATAATTATAATGCCAAAATCACTTGCCTTGACCGGACACCCATACGACCACGAGCTGAGAATTGGTTGGAGGTAGGCGGAAGAGGTGGGATTCCCGCACCATTATCAGCAGAAGTTGGACTCCTCATTTCCGGAAACCCATTGTTGCATATAGAACTTTCACTTTTTAATACACTCTTCACATTATAATCTAGTGCTCCATTCTGGAAAGCCGCAGCGGTTGGTGGGGGTGCAAGGGGAGGTTCCGCAGCAGGAAGTGCTGCTCCTTCCTCTACCCATCTTTTAAGGTTTTCATCATAATAAAATTTATTCGAATCACCCAATTTTGCCTACAGGTGATCAAGACAAGGAAACAAGTGTCAACTTCAAATTTTGTGAAGACTGCAATCTAGGAAATGACGAAGATGAGAAAAAACAAAAATAATCTACCTGACGGCCTTGACGGGGTTTGAGGACTAATCCAACAGTTTTCTGGAGAAGCTGGGAGCCAAAGCTAAAGCGACGAAACCTTGATGTCCCTCCAGCTCCTGATGCATTGCTTCCTGTGTTACTTGAGCTTGCTTCCTTTGATGAGTCAACCTGATCCAACACAAATTCATAACAAACTCCTCTTTTCAAACCAGACAGGATAGATACAGTCAACGTAATATTTACAAAGAAACAGGATAAGACACCTGTCTTGGAGTTCTTCCAATGTCAGGCTCTGAAACACTTCTATTGTGCATTGTCATTCTACCGCTATCAGCTGCCCATTCACTTATTGGCTCCACAGACGATGAGGGGATCAGTGATGACATTGCCATGGTTGATTGACTACTTGAGACTCTAGGCCCATTCCCTTGGGAACTGCCATTTGTTGGCATCGGCGGTGGTAAGCCCCCAACAACACGATGAGCCGTGGTATCAAAAAGGTTCAGCAATTTACCAACCAATTTTGCAGGAGCCAAATTTGTGGAGAACCCTCCCTGTATGCAGAAAATTCCACAATAATTATCTCTGAGACAATCATCCAACATTGATGAGAGGATAGAGAGGTACCTGTTGGTGAGTTTTAATCCTTTCCTCAAGAGACGACACTAACTGTCTCAGTGTTTCAGTCTCAGGGGTTCGGCCAGTTTTAAGTGATTTCGACAATGCTTGACAGTACCTATAATTAGAAATGTTAAGGAACCAGCTGAAAGGATCTCAAGTAACTTGCTGAACAAAAAAACTGGCATACTTACTTTAATGCGTCTGATATCTTCCCAATTTCAGCTAGCATGTGTGCATATACAAGTTTATATGGTTGAAAAGGAGGGAGAATAAATTGAGAATTCCCCAGCACCTTTGAGTATTCATAAATCTCAGTCCTCTGTCCATACAAGCATTTCATCAGTCAAGCGATAAACCCATGTTAACCAGTAGCACATAACATGAGTGAATATGCTGGTTGTGGCACAAGATGTTTCACATTTCTTCATATCACTAAAAATGCACAAAAACTAGAGGTCAGCAGCACCTGAATAGCCTCTGGACTAGCATAAGTTCGGGGGAATTTCAAGTGATCTGCACCCACAAGACACAATCTTGCGGTATCTGAATATTGCTCAAAGTTTGCTTCGGCCACCAGATAGCAAATGTGTGCAGCAACAATCTAGATCGTTTTTTTTAGAAAATGTATGTAAGAATCAGACAACAAAACCAAAGGCAATCCACTGAATGAGAGTAATATAAACAAAAAAACAAGGCATAAGACATACATCACTCCTCTCTTTCCACAAACAATCGCCAAGATGAATAAGCACCAGTTCATCATCCTTCGTTCTGTTTGCAGTAATAACAGCCAAATTCTCTTCCCAGTCATCCAGCATGATATTAGCACCAAACTAGGACAAAAAGAAGAAATCAAAATAAGGTAATGATCCAAAGAAAGTATTATCTTAAAACATCAACAAGCAATAAAGTAGGGGGGAAAAAGACTTAAACTCAACGTCTAGACATAACTCCCTCCAAAGAAACGGGAAAAAGAAAGAGTGATCCACTTACGATCTATGGTGTTACGTAATAAAACAACCAAGCCCAATATGTCAAAACATAAGGATTGACTTCAAAATAACATTCACAAACAATCACCATGGTTAAGGGTAGCTATTGAATCCTGCATGGGTATATTAAGGTTCTGCACATCTGACAGAACAATGACCCCACCTAATTCATCATCAAAACTCTGGACATCTGACGGAACAATGCCCACACCTAACTTTTTTTAAATAACAGTGCCGTCCACCTTACGCACATTTCGACTATTCCACCGACCAAGTAACTTGGTTTGCCTAGCTTGAGGAGGGTGGAAAGAACTTGCGTAGTCTTTTTTTTTCTTTTCTTGTCAGCGCTGAGATTTGAACCCCAATGCCCCACACCTAACTTATCTCCAACCAAACAGAAAGTCCTTGGACTTCAAAAGAGAAGCCTTATTGAAATTCCAAGGATCAAAAAATACGAAACTATGCTCCATTTCCCTTTTTCAATCACTATTAACCTTTCGGTACGCCCTAAAATATCTTCATAATTCTTTTTGATGAAGCTTTAAAAGTTAAAGAATGATTATGATACTATGGTTATAACTGCAGAACAGATTATCAAAATTATTTACTCTATAGAATGAAGATACAAGAGTATGTCAATGGCAAGATCCCCTTTAAGGGCTCAATTCCTGGGACTTGGGCAAATCATTACAAAATGAGTTCAAGGAGGAAAAGGCAGCAAATAAGCTAATGAAACTAACTGCTTGTAACAAGTTATGAACACAAAACCTGTGCAGGCTGTTGAACCGCATTTACAACAGGCATGCCACTTTGAGATGTAGATTCTACAGAAAAGACATCAGCCGGTTGACCTGCAATTAGTAGGCACAGTGTCCGCAAAGGTGACCCTGCTACTAACTGTTGAAGTGCCATTTGCTTCACTGTTTCTACATAGAACTACAATTACGCATGAAATCAAAAATATATTGATAGAAAGATATATATATACACACATGTATAATTGAGACATAAAGAGAGAGAGAGAGAGAGGAGGAGGAAGAAGAGGCTGGATGCTAAAGGGCAACTAAGAACTAGACAAACCTGATCACCAAGCTGTGCAGCGAGAACAAGAGCTGGTCCCCACAATTGCCCCTCTTGTGCACATTGTAATGCTTCTTTCTTTCTTCCAGATACTAGAAGACTTTGAACCCCAGAAGCCGTAGTCTAGAGCATGTAACGGGAATGGTTGGCTGATCTAGCAAACAATCAAAATAACAACTAAGAACAGAAATTTGCACAAGAATTACCCGCATCTGTCCTTCAGAGGGCAATTGCTGCAAGCACTGGGCAACAGTGCCATATTGATTG